TATTATTAACAAGTAACTTGGCGCATATCTTATTATCAGTTGTCAAAACCTCCTCTAGGCCTAGATTAAAATTCAGAGGTCTTTAGAAATATTTAATTCCTCCTTTCTCTCACCTCATCTTAGACTTGTTTGGTATGACTATGTAAAATAATATTAATTACAGTCATTTTCACGAGCTGTTTCTCATTTATGCCCAATTAGCATAATCACAGCACGTGTGTCAGATTACCTTCGCTGCATTTGATGATTCTACTAAATTCCATTTTGGGGAACTAAGCCGTGGCAGTTTGTTTCTCACGTGCCATGGTTGGCCGCTCACAAAGTAGGAAAATCGGACAGACTCCATCTGCTAAGGAAAAGCTAGGCCGAGAGATGTGTGTCAGAGAGGTGGGTGCTCAGGAAGCTGGCAGCGCAAGCTCTCTGGTGGCTGAGCAACAGGTCACTTTGGATAAAGGAAAAGTCTGTTGACAGCAGTGACGAGCTCCCCAAGGGAGCTCTGAAGGGCACACCTGCCCTGGGAGGCTACCCTTCAGTGTCTCATTTGGGAAAATAGAGATGCCTCTTAAAGCCATCCGTGGACTTGACTTCACTTTGTGTGTGTGATGCATTCATGAAACTCTAATTTGGGGGTCGCTTGGTTGAGCTTTTGTCCATCCTGCTCCACGTCGAACCGAAGAGAAATTGCGTGGTGGAAAGGACTCTGACCTCGAGGTTAGGGACGATAAAAGAAAAGAAACAAAACCTAAGGAAACAGAAGCCCTTCTGTCTCTTAGCTGGATTCTAACTGTGTGACCTTGGGTAAGTCAAGTCACTTCCCAAGACCTGGTTTCCTCATTTACGAACAAATACAGTTAGACGGAGGCCAAATACGCCTCCGAAATGTGGAATACGGCAACTTCGGAAGGGGTAGTTTTAGGTCGTGATTCTTGCCTGCAGATGAAAATATTTAGGAGTAAAAAGTCCTCAGAACTTGGCAAAGTCAGATATTTATGATTCCCTGTGAGTCAACTGATTTTTTCCCCCTAGGTCTCCACAAGCCTCTCTTTGTTCAGTGGTTTTTGTTTTTACTTCGAATTTTTCCTTCCACAATTAAAAAGATTGAGATGACTGCTGTCATTAACAGAAGACAAACAACTTGGCAACAAAATAACTTAAATATTAAAAAGTAACCAAGCATGAAAGATTAAAGTTTTTCAATAGAAATAAGGACTCAGAGTTACAATTCTATTTTATATATAATAATGTAGTTAGTTCAGTTGATTTATTGAGAATTACAAACATGTATGTGGTGTTGCCAAGTTCCATATGCTTTTGTTCTTAAATAGTTTCATCTGCAAAGCAAGAATCACCACCTGAAACTTTCCCTGTGGAGGCTGTCATATGCCAAATTCTAGAGCTGAACTTGGCCTTGTCTAACCTCATATCACAGGTGCAGAGCGGTTTTTTTCTCTCTGTAAGGGGGTCGCAAACATCGGCATTCCACGGTATTCCACACAGAAGACTGTAATGGTCAGATTCTCTGTTCCTCGAGCTTGTTTGCAAGGCAGAGCCTCTAAAGAACCGATTTTATTTTCATTTTCCTAATAAGAGAACTGAGGCGTGGTAACTTGCCCAAGGTCACAGCGAGTTAATGGCGATTACAAGACAAACTTGCGCAATCTGATTTGAGATTCAGTTATGATATATCCCTTTCTAATTTGGACTTCTTGCCCAAGTGTCAGTTTCCCGAGAGGATGGAGTTTATTTTGTAGTCATAGTCCCACGTCGTCTACAGGGTTTGACATGGCAGAAGCCGATGGGCCAGCCAGCGGCCCATGGACTGTTTTGTTCCTACACTGGTTTCAGGTGGGAGGAAGCCATGTTTTTCTTCCACGCACGGATGTCTGAAGACTTGTCTCTACTGTTGGGAATTCAGGCCTCAGAAACAGAGGCTGAAAAGGAAGGCCGTGATTCCTTCTCGGTTCATTTTCTGTCTTGGGATGTTTACTGGATAGCAATGTATTGCAAGACAGGGCACTGAAGAAAAAACAAACCATTTCATGTGAACTACGGTTCAACGTCTCACCTCTAAAAATGACAAAGCTCTCAGTTGTTTACCCCCATACTTTTCTGCCTAACTATACATAAGTTTGCGTGATTTAATTGTCCAGGAATTTATTCATCTCCTCAGTAACATTTTGCCCCTTTAATGGTTTGCCTTCTTTTGCTTCTTTGCACTTGGGGACATGGTTTCTTTGGTGCAGAGGAGTTTTGGAAAAGGCAAGAAGGCAAGCTCAGAGCTCAAGAAATAATAAAGGATAATACTGTAATCATAACAACTCATTATTTGTTTTTAAGCTTGATCTTTCAAAAGGTTATTATCTGGAGTTGAAGACTAATGGATTCAAGCTCTCTTTATGCAAAGGAAATCTTAAACAACAGTGCTCATGGGGAAGGACATTAATCAGGAGAGAGAAGTAGGCCTTGTGCCTACTAATGTTTGCTTAATAGCTACCCTTGGGTATATCGCTTGCCTTAAAAATAAATATTCATGCTTTCTATCTCCAGTGCGATTGGAAATTATTTGTGGTTACGATTCTGTTATATGATCTTCTACCTGTTCATGTGGACTCTAAGCTGGGAGGCCGTTGGAAATGAACAAACATAAATCACCGTGCTTAGGAGCGAGCCTTGGGTAGAGCCTGAAGGGGGCCCACGGGCAGCCTGCAGAAGGGAGCTGGGGCTGGTCGGAACTCTGCCTCCAGCAGGGGAGGGGCAGAGTCTCCGCGGCTAAACACCCTCTCAGTGCCTTTAACTCTTGCAAAGCTTCTCAGCCTCTGCAAGAGAAAATCCGGGTGCCTTCTCTTGACATAAATGCTGCTCACCGGCCAGGCCCCTGTGACCCTGCAGCGCGCTGGCCGGACCACGCTCCACCTCAGAGGCGATGCTGCCCAGCTCTCTCTGTACCGGTTCCCTCAGACACCGTGACTCCCACGGTTTTGTTCGCACTCTACCTTTATCTTGCAAGAATTTTCCAAACCTCCTTTGCAAATTACTTCCATTTATGATGGAAGAGTTGGCTTGGGCTGTACCTTCTCCAAGAAACCTGTTTTGAACTTGAGAGTTAGCCGATGAATTTTCCCCTGGCTGCTGCTTTTTCTTCTTCCTGTCTTCCTTTCACTGTTACAGCGCCTTAAATAGCCTTGGTCCTGGGGAATTCCTTCATTGTCTTGATTTATTGCTTCCGTGCACCAAACCTTATTCCGCGAGTGCTTTAAGTCAACACATTCATTTTTCTTTTCTCTCTCCTTTATTCTCTGTTTTGCCTTCTACGTCTCTCTTTTTATCTTTTAATTGCTGGGAAAAGTTTTAGCATGATCTTGAGCACAGAGGCTCTGCAGTGTTTTGAAGTGGTGCGTCTGAGCCTCAGCTCGGCATGCACCGCCCCCTTGGGCCTTTGCCCCTGTCCTGTTTCTTCCGTAATCTGGGTACCCTGCTTCACAGAGGGGGCATGCTGTAGCTCCGAAGTGCAAACGGATTTGTTCTCCCCGACCTGCAATTGCTAATATGTCTTCCGCCTCTCCCACCCTGTCCTCTGACACAGGCCTCACGCTGTCCTGGAGTTAAGCACCGTCCCTCTGGCTCCTTCACCTGCACCTCCTCTGACGGGCACTGTATTAACAGGGCTGTGTCTGCCCAGCCTCACACTCTGATCTTACCCTATTGCTAGGCTTCTTCTGAAGGGCTCATATGTCTTTTTCATGCACAGCCACAAACGTCCCGAAAGCTACCCCGTCGGGAAATATTGAATGCCTGTCTATCTATAAAGCATTTTTTGTTTTATCCTTACTACAGAGAGATGAGCAGGACAGCTGTTAACCTTATTTTACAAATAGAAAAACCGGTTCAAGACGATGGAATGACTTCTTCCATTTATGTGTCTAGTAGATTAGAGAGATTAGAATTGGGACCCCAAACCAGTTCCCTTTTCGCAACGCTATAAGCTTTATAACCCGTAAAGACTATTTTCTGTCACTTTCTATACGCCTCCAGCAGAGCTCTGCCTGGTGAGCTCTCCGAGGGCACTGGACAGAGACCTGGGCTGGACACAGGCACCTGCGTGATGGCGGTGACTGGGCCACCATGAGCTCTGTGCCCCAAGAGAGTCACCTCTCTCTGAACCCCAGTGTCCCCATCGTGATGTGAAGAACGAGACATGCTTTCTTAGATTCTTTGCATGTCCTATTTTATTAACTCCCCTTCTGGTATTTCTCTCTCTCTTCTCTCCTCCTTTCTCTTTGCTCTCTTTTCAGTCAGTTCGACAGCGGATGCTTGTACATGACAACATATGAAGTATTGTGCAGGCGCCTTAGCAAGGTGGAAAGAGCATGTTGCTTACAGCTTGTTATAGAAAGGAAATATTCTTCCCTCTCTCTCCAGTTTTCCTTTCTTTCCTATCATTTCTTCATCCTTCTACCTCCATGTTCAACCAGCCCTCTGGCAAAATTACTGGTGGTTTTTTTGAACCCCAAGTGGACAGAGTGGAAGGAACTGGAAAGAGGGGAACAAAACCAATCATGACTGGGCACGTACTGAGCACCAGTGGATGAGTTAGGAAACTTTATGTGATTTCATTAATCCTTTCAGCCATCCTATAGGATTTAGACTTGGTATTTTACAGATGTGGAAACTGAGGCTCAGAGGCGTTAAATGATTCACTCTGTCGGAGTTAATATTTGGATCCCATCTGTGTGACTCCAAATTCCATGTCCGCTTTGCCATCCCAGGGGTCGCGGGGGCTCCGGTGGGCTCTGGAGCGATGCAGGGGATGGCAGCCCAGGCCGGGAAGGGCTGGGGAGAAGGCCGGAGCCTGCTCCAAGCTCTGCCCTTGGGCGTGCCTCTCCTTCCCTCGTCCCGGCCTCAAATGTAGACTATTTCTGCAAAATATGGATCCAGCCCTTCGTAATATTTTCACGAGAGGGTCTTCTACTAATGAGACGTCTCTCTTTTATCTTTCACAGCAATTTTGCAGGCAGTAATAGCTGGTGATCTTATGAAGGTAAGATATTTTCCTACCAAAATTTTTGGTGATTCTCTAAGAAGTTTAAATCAACGTTATCTCGCATCAAACTTTCATGGTCCCATAGGTCATTTTTCAACCCTCCCCCCATACACACACACACATAAACACTTGCCTGTGCTGGCTGAGTAGGAAGAGGAAGGGTGCTCTCTTGAGTGAGGGTGAGGGGAGTCGCCACAGCACCTCCATGCTCCCTGACAGCGAGTGGTTTCTGGGAGAGAACCGCGCGGCTTGCCTCGGCTGGTTAGAAGGGTCCGCGCCTCCCAGGAGAGAGTGCTCACAGCGCCCAGAATTCCTCTTCTCCAGAAGCTGATATTGGAGCTTTAAAGACTTCTTTTTAGACAGTCTTGAAATGAATGCCTCTGTAAGGACCTCCCAGACAACAACCAGCAAGCAATACATTCTTTGGGCCAGAGCCTATGCTCCCCAGCGTTATTACAGTTTTGTATCTTGGAGATCACAGTGAACCCAAAGAAGGTACCCTGTCTGGTCCACCTTGACCATTTCAATGTGTGCTGTTGTTTTCTGGTGGGTGTTAGTTCAGACGGAAGGATGCAGTCACTGTTGCCTTTAAAGTGGGTGCAGGTTCTATAGCCAGACTGCCTGGGCTCTGCCGTTCCCTGTATGTGTGACTTTGTATAGTTATTTAATTCTCTCTGTGCCTCAGTCTCTTCATCTATAAAAGGGAATAACAATACTGCCTCTCTCTTCCCTTTGTGAGGATTGAATGTAACAACACACGTAAAGCTCTTAACAGCGTTCCTATTCCATTGAAGGGACTACAGGGTTAGCCATCGGATTAACATAGGATTAGTCTGTGGTTTTTAAAAGGTAAACATAGTGGAGATGCAAATATTTGTTATAAAGTGTAATATAATCTATGAACATTCTAAAAATGGTATATTGGGTCCCATGCCCTTTTCAGGCCTTGGGGCTCATGACGGCCCATTTGTCCCGGTAAAGGCCACGCTGGCATAGATCAGCTCCGTAATATGGGCAGAGGCCATGCCCTCCTCCAAAGCCGGGGGAGGATGGTGCCACCGCAGGTCCAGACAACAAAAGCCTTCAGAGAAAACCGAGAGGCCCTGGCCTTGAACGCACCACCTCCTGAGGCACCTCTGTGCTGCATGTTTAACAGGTCACTAGCAGAAAACAGTGCGGAGACAGTTGCAAGCATCTTGATTAACGGCCATCTTCAGACACATGATCCTGGAAACGGTGCCTGTGTGGGGCTCAGATCATAATATTACCAAGAATGTCACCCACGAGAGAAAGGTGCTGTCTAAGCAGCGCACCTGGGAGTTCAATGCCACTCCCCAGCCACGGACTAAACCAGTTCCAGCCTATTCTCCCTGCATGGCCTTCTATTAGTTTCTGGGAGATAAAGTCTTGAGTAAGATCTGACCCTGCCCTTGCAGAGCTTCTAAGTCAGAACATTTTGCACACTGTGCATTTGAAACCTTCTCATTTTATCTGGTATATGCTTTTAGTCTAGGCCATGAGTTTTCCAGGCCCTTGGGTATATTACCACAATTTTTGTACTTCATGGAGACTTATGTGAGGTATGGGAAATCGCTATATTCAGCCATTTGTCCTATTGCATTCTCTGTTGCAATTATTTCCTAATGGCTAAGAAATAGTGCGACAAAACCTTATTTACAGAAAGATGAAGCGTAGGGGGCTTAGGGTTTTATTTGCTCTTTTCTTTTTCTTTTTTCTTTCTTTTCCTTTCCAAGTATTTTCTTCTCCTTTTCCATTTTCTTTCATTTTTCTATTCCTTGTAGAAAGCACAATAAATTTACACAGTAAACTGGGGGTGTGTGTGTGTGTGTGTGTGTGTGTGTGTGTGTGTGTATGAGAGAGAGGGAGCAGGCAGCAAAGAGCAGAGAACAGAGGACCAAGAGCCGTCCCGGTGTGAAAGCCACCTTGAGTAGCTCCTGTACAACTGGGCTGCATAAGATGCCCGTGGACTAACTCAGTGTTCAGTGTCTAAAAGCACCACAGAAAGGCAGAATCAAGGCAGCGGATGGATTGGGTCTGTGCGACTCTGCTGAGCCCGAATCCCTTGTGATCTGCCCCAAAGCAACAGTCACCATAAGACAATGCAGTGAAACAGAACAGGATTCTTGGAGATTTTGGAGGACAACTATTAGCACTTCTTCCTATTGCCTCAGTTGAGGGAGGAAAGGCCCCATATGGTCCCTACTTCCATCCAGCTACTCTTTTTTGTTCTGTTTCCTAGGAGGTCGCCCACGACCCCTTTCTGTCCCCTGCTTCATGCTCTCCCGGTGCCCTGTGACAGCCCCATCAGGGTCCTCTCTGTTCCAGCGTAATTCTTTCTGCATCTGTGCGCCCGGGGACTGCGAGGCCTGGGAGGCCAGTGGCTGAGTTGTCTCCGTCTTGGTGCCCCTGGCATCTGGCATATTCAAGAGGAAGCATGAACTATGAGGCTACTCCCTTTGACCTGATGAGATGCTTGAGTTTTTAGATAGTGTTGTGCCATCTAACTTCTTGCTAGTAGATACATTCCATTTGCTTATTTTCTGCTGGGTTATATGATTCTTATCTGTCCTAAAACTACCTTTTAGAAGCTCTGGAAGGCTCTCCTTGTTCCGATACACCACCATTTGGAGAATAGGGACCCATTTACACTTTCTATCATATTTAATATTTCATGAACTTAGACTATGTTCTCATTTAGCTACCTTATTCTCAGATTGCAAAATCTGTATTGTTGTTTTTTTCTAGTCTGGTCTCATATTTTAGGTATTTTAGGTCTCGACTACTATGTCCTCTGAATCCATTTATTTCTCATCACACAGAATGCATGCATGCGGGGCCATAGACCTGGGTAAAGAGGGAGCCACACGTGTGTGTGGGTGTGGATGTGCTGTATGCTTGTGCCATGTGCGCATGTGCAGTGATTTCACACAGGAGGAAGGAGCTTCTACATTCGGCAACTAGGTTCATCACAGATCCAAGGAAAACTAAAGATCAGTGAAGGAGTCACCTGTCAGACACCAACTGAATCCTGCCCATAGCTTTAAGTATTCTTTCATTCAAGGAAAAGCGGAGCCAACGTGGGAAAGCTTTTATCCTCTTCTCCACCCTCCACTCCCTTGGAACAGGGACCAGTGCCCAGAAAAGAAAAAGACAGAAAAAAAAAAAGGAAAAGAAATAAATAATTCAGTATATTTCAGTGTCCTTAGCCTGTTCAACACCTATGCACCCTCTCAGGAGTTAGCGAAACACTGGCCATGTATTTGAGTGGTAACACAATCGAGGAAGGTTACTGCATCACTCTGCTGTTTCTCTGTGTCCTCTGAGAATAGAAACATTGGTGGTTTGCTACATTGCTCTTATTTTAAACTCTCTTAAAACACCAGTGAGCTGTTTTCCTTGTTCCGGACTCTGCCTGAGTTTTGGGGGGGTTTTTTTTTCCCTCTTTTTCAGCTAATAGAAAGCTATAAAAATGGAGGCAGCCTGCTAATTCAGGGACCAGACCACTGTTCACTTCTTCACCACGCAGCTAAAACCGGCAACGGGGAGATTGTGAAATATATCCTTGACCACGGTGAGTAGGCACAGTGAACCAAGGACCACTTCTCCATGAAATAGATTGAATTTGCTAAGTTGACTTCCACCCAGGCTCCCTGTGGAAGGGTGGGAGCGCTCTCCACCTTGTAGCCGACTCTTCCTGCTTATTGGAGCCACGGGATTGTAGACCACTGGCCCGTAGAGGTGCCCTTAACCAATCGATTAATAGAAGTAATTTTCCTATCAAGATATTTGCAGAGTATTTGGGGGCCGATTAAGTTTTTTTCAAAGGACAGACAACAACGTGGACTGGCATAATATGCTTTATTGTTTGCGGAAGAGCTTTTATGTTTGGGGAAGTTACCTGGTGGGAACAAGGTTCCTAATCCATATTTGCAGCTGATCATTCCCAGGATTAATGAGACTATTTTTCCTGTCTTTCTAGTTTTCTAGATTTGTTGTTGTTGTTGTTGTTGTTGTTGTTTTCTGTTTGAATGTCCTTCATCTTTTCAACTCGAAACACACTTTATTCGTCTTGGAAGTCTCGCGTCCTCTGCGGCAGTGCATGCTCACCTCCTGGGTGGCTTCCTGCCTCACTTTCTAATTCAGGTTTTACCATTTGCTGGGAGCAGCTGGTGATTTTTAGCATCTTCCTCTCAGAGCCCCTCAGAGACGTAAACACACGTGATGGATGTCGCATGTTGTTTGTTCCTGATAGTTTCCCATGTTTCTAGTGTTTCTAGGATAAAGAATAGGAATAAAGGGGACAAAATCTGCCTGGCTTGGCTGTTTTCAAAGGAGAAAGAGTGGCCTAGCCTCCAGCTTGGGCAAAGACCCTGGAAGATTTCCCATGAGCCCGAGCAGAGAGCCTGTGGCCAACCTTCTACGCGTTCAAATTCGGGCTGGAAATAGAAAGCCTATTAGTAGACATTCACATTCCCTCTTGCTCTTCTTTTTACTCAGTTTAGCAAACGTCTTATTTCACTCATTCATTCCATTAGTCATTCCACAAATATTTGTTACAGACCAGTACACACACAAGAATAAAATAGAGCTGCTGTTTTCAAGCAGTTGCAAGCTAAAGAAAAAATAATCATCGTAGGCATAATTAAATTTAAAACATTTATATAGATGTTTCAAGTCCTATTGCAAAGCCACAAAGAGAGAACATAGTTACCATTATCAGAAGCACATGTTCTATGCCAGATGCTTATACTACACACATTGCTGGGTCTTGGAAAGACCTTGTAAGGTAGGTTTGAGACTCTCAGTCACATTAGACTTAGCTGCTTTGTCCTAGTACCTTCTCACCATGAGGCGTTTGCTTGAACCCTTGGCTTGAATTAGGGTGGGAAGAGTGGTTTAGGCAAAGGAGAGGGTGTTAAAGCAGGCTGACGATCAGCAGAGGACTCCTTTCCCCCTTGCAGGTTCAGTGGGGGGACCCCAAGCCCGTGCGTGGTGGAGAGCCTATGTAGGAAAACCGTGTTCCTGGTGCTGTGTCCAGGACGTGCAACGTCCCACCTCCTGCTCTCTGACCCTTGTACCACCGGCGGTTAAAGCATTCCTCTTCGGACAAGACTTGCAAAAGCAATGGTGGCATCATTTCTTCTTGCCTCCTCCACAAATATTTTTGTAAAAAATCATAGGTGTGAGAAGCAGAACTAAATGTTAGAACCCAGCCCTGTAGATAAGGTATAAAATCACAAAGAAAGCTCCCAGGACGATCTTCCCTTGATCGAAATAGTCTCAGGGTTTCTACTGCATGAAGTTTGGGTGAGCTTTAGGTATACACTGTTGCTTTATTTCCCTTTGGCTCAGGCTAAAGCAGCTCCTCGTCGCTGTCTTCTTGATCATTTTCAATTTTTCCTTCCTAGTTTTTCCCTTTATCCAATGAGATTGGGTGCTTGTTGGCATCCTTAGGTTATTTAATACCCACCTGCCCTCTCTGGAGCTAGGTGGGCCACTGATACCCATTTGAGTGATAACACAGTTTAGGGACCCTCTCTCTCTCTTCACCTCTCCCCAAGAGATAGCGCTTCCCCCCACTTCCGGTTCCTGTCAGTATCAGTTACCCGCTGGTGCCCCTCCTGGTCTCAGTCATGAGGCTGCCGTGAGCTGTAGTTTTGACTGAGTCTGTACTGAAGGGGCCTCTGGCGCATGTTTGGGGCTCTCAGCTGAGGTGGCTGGATGGGCCAGGGCACCTGAGCCTTTCTCTGTCCCTGGGTTTCCATCCCAGGCTGCCGCACAGCATGATGGTCCTAGGGTCCCAGGAGGGGAGAATAACAGCTTCCAGACGTCCTGAAAGTCCTGCATCATCTCTGCAGCGTTCTGTTAGCTGAAACAAGTCACAGGCTGGTCCTGACTAAAGGGATGGGGAGACAGACCCCACTGCCCCATAGAAGAAGCTGCACATAATTTGTTGCCAAATTTAATACACCTTGTTCCCTTACCTTCTGTCATCTTCAACCGACAATGATGACCCTACTTTCTCAATATCCTGAACTGCTGATCTGCCTGAAACCCCCTGGCGCTCTGCTTTGATATTGCCCTTGGTTCTGGGTCCTAAGACTGCTTGGCAACAACAGTTCTTCAACTTTGCAAGTTCTTAAACAAGGTCCCCCCATTTTAGCCTATGTCCCATGCAACATTTGAGATTCACACTAAACATGGAAACAAAACCCTTCACTCGGTTGAGTCTTCCCGAGGGCATGAGGCATGAGACATCAGGCGGTACCCCTCTAACGCCCTGGGTTTTCCTTCCCCCTCTACTCCCTCGTCCACTGTAGCCACGCTCACAGGGCGTGGAGTTCCTAACCCCCATCGTAGGTCGGTACACACGTGCTTTGCTGGGCAAGACATCTATCAGGCACATTAGTCTTGATGCTTTGACCAAAGCCCGACATTCTAGTGCTCAACAAATTTCTCTTCCATCTCCCATGTCTTCTGCAAAGGGCGAACCACAGGCTACAGCTCTGTCAAAACTGAAAGACACCAAAAGATGTATTAATTCCTTGGAGGAGGGTGCTATTTTTCCAGTTCTTATTGTTAGATTTTATAAACTAGTTGGTGTAATATGTATGCTAATGAGAAAAAAACTTCAGATTCCTGTAATCGCCCCAACTTCACTCACAGGAAAACACCCACAGGAGATATTCTGTCCCCTCCCTGCCTCACCAAGAGGAAGGCTGTGGAGACAGGGACGCAAAATCTGGCCCTTCTGTTTGAAAATAAAATATTACACTCTACAGTCTAAAGATCATGGCCTTTTTTGTGAATGGCAATTTTTTTTTTCAACTGTTAGCACGATAGTCAAACAACGAAAACTAAATCACAGTTGATTTTTATTGAAGTTACTATTTACCAATCAGATAGGCATTGTCCATTTCATACTCACTATCGATCCCATTTCTGTTTATTCGGGATTACGGATATAAAATCTTTTGTCATAATCAGCCAAATTCACCAGGTTCCTTAAGAGCTAAGCACTTCAGCTCATCTGTTTTTATTGTTGTTTGCTTTAATGTCTTCAGTTGCTGATGCCATTTATAGCAACCTGTGCATTTGGGGACTGAACACCATCTTTGCAGAACTTCTCATCTAGAAACCCCTTTGAATGATGCTGTCTTGGAGCTGGAGATTAGTGCACGGAAAACCTGACCCTTTCTCTGCCCTGTAACCATCTTCGGAATGTGATCTGTGCTTAGAGGAACCGTCTCATTAAATAGTGATGGTGACTCGCGTTCCCCTGGTCTGACAAGGAAAACAGCCTTTGTCAAGGTGCTTCCGCGAGACTGGAGTTGGAGGATGCATTTCAGACGATGACATTGTGTCTATAAATTAGTATCATATTTGCGGTAGATGGGTCTGAGCAGTTTGAATTCATGTAAATAAAAAAAAGAAAGGAAAATGTCATACTGCACCAAAGAGCAAGAGGAGCGCTCCTCCTAGTCTCGAACTCTGAGCATTTCTTGAAGTTGTAGTTGGTTCTTTAAAAAAATTTGGTTCAAGTCTTTCCTGTGACTTCATGGGATACAAACCCTGAAAATCGTTCGAAGACCTGACTGTGAAGATGCCTTTAATGACAAGGCTTCTGAGAAAACAGGGGTCCCTTTCTTTTCAAAGTGCATGATGGAACTTGTATGCGGCCTGGTGGCCTCCTGTGTCCTTCCTCTCCCCTCGGCCTGGCCCTCTTCATTGGCTGTTTATGGCGAGCAGGGCGGCCCGCCGTCGGGGAGGACACCCCCGAATAGGGCTCCCAGCCACCACGCTCAGCAGTGCCGGTCTCTTCTAAGGCCCTTCCTAAAGCCGCAGGGGGTCTGGGGGGCTTGAGATGTGTGCTGCGTTCTGAGGCTTGGAGGGTTTTTTCCCCCCTCTCCTGCATCTTCTTTGGGAAGTCTTGTCTCAGATTCACAACATGCTGCGTTCCTTTATGAACACTGGAATCTGGGCATTTGGAGGCTTGAAAAGAGAGGGAGGGGGAAGGGAGCTCACAATTCCCCAGGGACAGGGTGGAGCGAGGAGGAAGCCCAGGATTCCAGCTGAGATTCCCCCAGCCCTCCTTGCTTTTCAGCTCCTTTCAGCTATCATTTTTACCCACTGCTTCCTCCCTGATTTGGGCCTCCAAAGGACTTTTGTGTTGTTTGTCTTTTACCACCCTGCACACGTTGGCTCTTTTGTTTTCTTTTACCTCCCCACTCCTACCCCGTTGCCCCCTACCGTGTTTCCTGATAGAAATCTCACTCATGCATTGCTTTTTGGATTTCAATGGCTTATTTTGTCTTCCCTCTGTTTCTGTCTTCGGTCTTTCTTTTCTTACTTCTACCCCCCTTTTTCTGCCTCTGGTCCCTGAGAGAAACGACCACCATCCCGCTGGGTCAGGATGACGGTGCCGTTGGAGTCCCCAGTGCCAGCTCTCCCCACATCTGCGCCGCCTTTGTCCTGGGCCACGGGAGGATTTGGAATGGTCTGCTGGCAGCGTCAGGGAGACTGATGGGAAATGAGGGCCGGACAGAGAGAGGCCATGGGGGGGTGGAAGGAATAGCAAAGGGGATTTGGATGCCTTGGTGTGGGAAGCAGATTAAAAGATGCACGTGACAAAAGACACATCATACATAATACAAGTGCAATATTGATAAAGTTGCATCCGCAAGACCTGGGGCATGCGGTGGAAGAGCCTACGGGGTAAATGCTGGGCAGCGAAGCTGCGGCTTGGGAGGCTTCACTACTCACTGCGCAGTTCTCTTTCTTGTGCTGGGACATCTGCGAAGTTGTACTTCCTTCAGTGTTCCCGACACATCGATGTGTCTTTCCCTTTGATGTATTTTTTTTTCTGTCATTTTTCAGACCATTTCCCATATAGCACAGTCTTCTGAAACCGTGTTCCATTTATGGGTCTTTCTCCGAGAAGAAATACAATATTGGCTGGGATCCACATTGATTTTTAAATGTCTTTCATTCACTTACTCACTTAAAAAATTAATTCCGTCCTCCCCACTCTCGAGGGAAAAAAAGTTATAATAACAGTTACTGCTCATCTTTATTATTCTAAATACTTTCAATGCATGAACGTATTAATTCTTACAACAGCCCTACACAGTAAGTTCTCTTATCTCTGTTTGGCAGGTGGGGAAAACGGAAGCATGGTGAAGTTAGCTTAGTTGCTAAAGCTCACACATAATATAAGATGTGGCCTTTGCCCTCCGTGGTCCTAAAACCCAGCAAAGGGCAATGAAACATGGATAAACACCCACAGTGCGGGGTAGTGCCGCATGAGTATCCTATGCAGGGCTCCAGGGACCACCGTGCAGAGCTGTGGAGGGGCAGCAGTTTCCTTCCGCTGGAAACTTCAAGAACTGCGCACACCCGTGTCCCTTCAGCAGGGGCTGAGGGTTGTCGCGGTGCAGGCCAGCTGTGGGGCGCAGGGCGGGCGCCGGGGCAAGCCCCGGGAGGGAGGAGAGCCAGGATTGCCTTTTATACTCAGGGAACAACTGGGAGTTCTCCACTGACGATTTAATGGTGTTCCTCCAAATTCCTTAGGGGAGATGACACGGTATTCGCCATCCAAACACACTTAGACATAAAATACAAAATAAGCCCCAAATGTTCCTCATCGATATATATTGAAGGAATTTAAATGCCTTTCTTTTCTCACTTTCTCCTGTTCTCTCCCTTATTCGTGAGACTCAAATTCACTTTCCAAAAATCACAGATGCTCTTATTATATTCTTTTTACAAGAGATCATAGGAGTCTTTTTTTTTGTTGTTTGTTTATCCCACCACACCCCCACTTCAAATCTTATGCCTAAGCTGCACAGGGTACTATTAAGCAGCACAATGTGCTATTGCCAATAGCTTCCAATAGGCCATTGAAGGGACAGATAAGGAGGGAAACCACAGCCTTGCCTGAGACTGCGCCTGGCACTCACTCTTCTTGTTTCCTTCCCTGCATCCCCCCTTGCACTATGCAGATGCCATTATTTTACTGCAGCTTATAAAAATTATTTGAAAATGTACCTATACTATTCAAACTAGCTCACCACTCCCATCTATGATCAGCCAGCAGCCACCCTTCGCTATTCATTGGCTGTTTGCCTACCAGCGTTCACAATGTCTGTGATGCTGTGATGTTGTGCTCATGGGGAGGATGAGGAAAGTTTGGATTCGTTAAGCCCATCATTCCAGAGCCATTCCCCAAACCTCCCACTGGAGTTTGCTGAGATGTTCACTAAGAGCAAACGTGTCTTGTTTGAGCCTCAGTCTCTCTCTCTCATCTCCGTCAGCTGCGGAGGACGAAGGGGGAAAAGGGAGGTACAGGCAGCATCAGGCCAGCCTTACTCGCCAAGAGGGTAACCAACTCGCCAATCGCTCTGGGTTGGCCGCATGCAGGGTGATTCTTGTCAGAATGGGAGGAGCAAGGTCCTTTCTCTTCCATGTCCCCATTTACAGAGTGTCAAACAGTTGCCATTTCAGCACAGGTGAGCCCGCTCAGTGTCCTCCCACCTGCATGGAGGCTGGGACCCTGGGGTCCACGGACCCAGCTCTGAGCGCTGAGGAGAGGAGGAGATGGACCAGGCCTAAGTGCCGGTGCAGTTAGCAGTAATGATGGCGCTGGGCTGCTTGTGTACATAGAAGTCCTTTCAACTGAAATGGCTTGGAAGGTTTGCTGAAGGTGACAGCAGTTCTTTAAAAGGACCATTGGACACTATAAGTCTCCCTGTCCCTGACCTCTTGGAAAATGTCCTGTGGGCAGTTGAGCAGACCTGGAGCACTTGGTTCTCAGGACATATAATTCAAGTCCACGAGTGGCTTCACCTGTAGGTTGGAGTGAAACGGCCCTTTGATATCTCCTGTCTTCACTGGCGTTCCAGCATCTTGACTCGGCATCTGACGTGACCTGCTGTGTCATGTCAGAGAAGAAGACACTTCACAATATCTAAACTTCAGACCTTGTATGTAGCATGCCAGCTGTTTTAAGCACGTAGCATGTATTAACTTATAAAATCTCACCGCACTCCAGTGAGGCAAATATTATCAGTCTTACTTTATCTGTGTGACAGTCAAGGGTCTGAGAGGTAAAATGAACTTGCCCAAGACCTAGTAAGTGGCAGGTAGAGCGGGAATTTTAAACAGAGGAGATTCAGCTCTAGAACCTTCACTCCTACCCACTGCATTATATAGCTTTGTACTTCTGTGGGTGTGTGCGTGGGGATGATCATTCACGTTTCCTTAAAACCACAGGACTGAGGAGCAGAAATGAAAGAGTTAAATCTTTGTTGACTGTAGGGTAGATTCTCAAGGGATATGAAAAATAAAAGTATTTTTATTCTCGAGTGATTTAGAATAATTTATTTAAGGGGACAAGACATACAACCAAAAACCAAAGAGATGGTATAAGGGTAGAACCAAATAAGTTTTTTGGGAGGTCAGAAAAGGGATAAATTCCTCTGTCAAAGGTGGTCTTTTCAGAGGACCTTGTCAGAGACTAGACTTTGGAGGACGTGGAAGGTATAGGTATGAGGCTAGAGAAGGAAGGCTGTCCTTGATAGGGACAGTTCGGGGGACAAGCCTTCAGAGTGAGGAGAATCTGAGAAATATGCAGGTGATGGGGAAATTACCATCTTGGCTTATGTGAAAAAAATGAACCTTGGGAACAAATTGAAGGAAAGTAGTTCCAAAGGAAGATTGTGTGCATCAATGTTTAAATACTTGGGTGTAAGCAGTAAATTTGGTGAGTTGGGAACCTGGAAATCTAAATGACATGTGACCTTTTTATTCTTCTTAGTAACAGTTTCTTTGTGCTAATTATGTGTCAGGCAGGGACAGATGGGGAGGCCCGTTTGTGAAACAGGACAAGTAGGACAGACATTGTTGGAGAAGGTTTGTCTGGCCTTGGCGACCAGTGGATGTGAGAGAGAGGAGGCAAGGATGCTGACTTAGCTCTTGGGTGACAAGGAGGATTGTGAAGGTCCCATAACACCTGTTGTCTCCTTGACCAATGTCTTTCATTGTTAGAAAGTCCTAACTTCCTCTTCTCTTTCTTCTGATGATATAATAAGTAATCACATAAGTAAATTTTCAATGATAATGATATCCAAGAACATAGCAAATCAACAGCATCGTATTTCTAAGGACTAAAATGCTCAATACCTAGAACCATGTTGGGCACGCCCAAGTACATTTTACTCATTCATTGAACCAAACATTTAGGCATCTGCTTGGCACCACACTCTCTGTGCCAGGCACCAAGGAAGGGCACGGTGGCGGACAAGTCATAGGCCATCGTCCAAAGGGGTTTACGAGAAGCTAGGTGTAAACAGAGAAATCAGTAGGTGATTTCAATATGGTTTAAATGTCATGATCGGGAAGGTGATTGTATATCCCCTCTCGTTTGAGGTAGTCTCAATTCGGATACGTTATGTCAATTTCCCAATTATAGGACACAGGGCTGATAGACAAAGTGAGGCAGGACATTTAGCGCAGTATTTGGAGTGGGTCCATAGTGGGCTTCATGGAGGGAATGGTCTCAGCTAATAGCTGCAGGCTTCATAGGGTACAGGATTTGGGGAGCGCCAGGGCGGAAGGCAGTGGTGAAGAAAGGGGAAAGGTGGAATGTGTGTGAGGATGGAACGCATGAATGAATGACCATTTAAGACATTGTGAATGTGCAAACTCATAGAACATTTTAACTCCTCCTGAAGCAGCTATCACTTGATGTTTATGCATAACATTTCCTCCAGGTCTTGGAAGGGAAATTTTGTGAAAAATAGAATTTTACTCTATATCTAAAGGAGGATAGTGGACTGTTTGGTATCTATTGTCTCTTGTAGCTTTACCGTTGCATTGGATAAGACCCCACCTCCCAAACTACCTGCCGCCGGAGAACAGGGCACAATCCTTAAAGCCCATCCAATTGTCCCTTTTCTCACCAAGTAGCCACATAATTATTTCTCACCTGTTCTTTTCCAACTGATTTTATTTGTTCAACTTCATCGAAAGCTTCTTGAAGGCTTTTGTAGCTCCTATTCTGCACATGTTGGCTGGTGGTGATTGGGAGACTGGAGGGGAGGAGGTAAGGGGATCCTTTCTTTTAAAGGGAGGGAGAAGGAGGTCTTATTACAAATGATCTTTCTAATGCTGCTTTCCCAGGCATTTTAGTTCTGTGAGTATACCTTTTTTTTTTTTTTTTTTTTTTTTTGTTAATGGTTAGTTTTCAAACTTATTTTTGATGGGCATCTTGCTTTCCTCTTATTCAGGTCCCTCTGAGTTATTGGATATGGCAGACAGCGAAACGTAAGTATCACTTTTCATTCCATAGTCTAGACTATTCTTCAGAACCTACCTAGGAGAAGAATGCAGTGTCTAGGGCATACAGTAGATAATTTCCACATCAGTGATAAGAAGTCCACCTCCAACTGTATTTATAACTGTGCAGGACTAATCTTCTCAATCAAAAATTACCCAGTAAAAATTGATGGCAAGTGTAACGGTTGCATGCATAGCTACCGCCATTCTTCATTTAGAGATTCCTATAGGTGAGGTACACTTCCGCACTGGTGCATCTTGGACTGCTGAGAAGTCTAAACAAATACACTCACCTCCCATCCCCCTTTCTTTTTTACTCTTTCTCAACTGGGGTTTGTGAGAAAAGTAAGCCCTCATGCTCCAAGCCATATTTGCAGGTAAAGAAACTTCTTTGCTGCATCTAGCATGGAACAGTGCCTGCAGGACAACTCCTGGAGAACCGAGAACATGGTGGCTCCAGTCGTCTCCATGTTCTGCAGGTCAGAAAAGGAACGCTGGTGAAAAAGTCATCCCCTCTGGGGTGATCCCCAAACTGATAATGTTTGTTTTCAGCTTTCCACCCCGCCTCCCCGCCCAGGGCAGCAAAATAGCTACTGCTCCCCAAACAAGGACACATAAAGACGAAACATCTAACTCTGGAAACGAGATAGAACCACTAGAGAACTCCAAGGAAATTCAAAAACGAGTAAAGAAGGGGCGGGGCGGAGTGAGCTGGCAGGGCGAGTGGAAGGAAGAGTGGAAGGAGGTGTGGCGGAGGCGAAGTAGCAATGAATAGAATGGAGGACAAGGGGGGGGGAACGCCACGAGTTACTGGACGCCGAGGAGACTGTCCATTGCTACGAGGAGCCTGTCCACACACTGTACAGCCTACTGGCAAGTTTGTCACTTAGCCCCAGTTTGCCTTCTCTGAGGTCTACATTTGATTTTTAAAGAAGCACTTTGGCATTAAGTGTCTTTTCAGTGCTGGATTCCAACTGGGAAAATCCTCCTCCTCATGGGCCGGTTAGAGGGGCAGAAATAGCTGCCTTCTCTTGCCGTTTCCACACGGAGTGGCTGGCCTGGGGCCCAGCACCCACTGGGGTGGCTCTGGTCCCCTGCCTGAGCTCTGCCTGCATCTCGCTGTGCCTCGCAGAGTCTCCGTGGCTGGCCCTCCCCAGCCACCTGCCCCGCGTGGAATCCAGGAGGCAGGCCAGCGCAGGAGTTGGCCCCGGTCTTTGAAGTTGAGTTCCCGGGAGCTGTCCCTCCCAGGGCCACATGGTGGCCTGCCGAGCACCGCCTGAGGGGCCCGAGGGCCGTGGTTCCCCATCGGTGCTCCATCTGCGTCCTCCCCCATCCCATTCCACCTAAATGTGTCCATGGAGAGAACAGCTTCACAGTGTCCAGACACATCCACACACACCAGCCTCTCTAATGGTGCCATGGAGTCTTCCCTAAACCAAACATGAGCAGCTGAAAACAAAATCATTCAGCCCAAAACCAACACTGTTTAGAAAAGAGGCCGGAGTCAGACACTGCGGTTGCTTGATGACTGACTGGAGGCATTCCTGGGACCCCCGCCCCGCCATGGGCCCCGCCTGCAGCCAAGGTCTCTGCTGCAGGCAGAGAAAGAGGCCGAGGAGCATAGAGCAGGGGCAGCGGGGCTAGGATGTCCCCCCACCCCTCCCTGCAGCCTCCACCCCCACCCCCGCCCCAGCCCCTTGATGGGTGGTTTCCATTTCGCCTTTGATTTAGGGGTGAGACCGCGCTGCACAAGGCGGCCTGCCAGCGGAACCGGGCTGTGTGCCAGCTTCTGGTGGACGCGGGAGCATCTCTGAGAAAGACGGACTCCAAGGTAACTTGATGAGCCAGTGCAAACATCCACCCACGGGGCCAGATCGCAGGCCCCGTTGCCTTCTCTTGTGCCCGCAGCCAAGGCATCCTTTCTGTGCTCATGGAAGTGCCGGGGCTTTGGAAAAAGGAGGAAAAAATAAAGTGTTTCATTTAGAGAAACTGCAATTTAAATGTATAAGCACAAAGGGAGGGTGCGTGCTCGCCTATGGGGCTTTAGAAACCTCTGGACGCGCTGGCCTTGGGGTTCGGGGTTCTCCTGCCAAGTGCCCGCAGCCAATTAGTGAGGAGGCGAAGTTCAAAGCGCCAGGAAAGGGGTCAGGTTCGTGTTCAAAGGCATTGGCATGGTCTCCGAGCAGGCCCTTGAGGGTTTCCCCTTCATCTGCTTAATCCAGGGTAGCTTAAAACCTGTTGCTTATATGGCTTCATATGTGGGTCTCAGAGTGACTTTCAGCCACTTCCAGGGTGGAGGTCGGGCTGCACAGCGAGCGTCCAGTTTATGGGGAGCGCCCGGGGAAAGGGCTGAAAGCCAGAGTGAAGGAGGAGTCACAGCCTGGTCATTCGGGCCTAGGACTGCAGCCCACGGCGTGGCAGGGAGTGGGGGGGACGCAGACCGACCCCACCGGGGAGCCTGGTCAGCTCTGAGAACTCTCCCGCACCCTGGGGAGACGCTAAGAAAACGCAGTCCACCTCGCTCAGGGGGTGGCAGAGGAGAATTTATATACATATGGACCTCGTTCAGCAGGTGGTGAGTAATCTAAGTTTGTGGCCAGTGAATGCAGCGTAGACCAGTGACTTAGAAGCCTAATAAAGGCTTATGGCCCATTAGCCTCATGTGAGTGATGAGCGTCTATTTATGTGCAGTTTTCCCCCTGGGGGTTTCCTCCCACTGCAGGGTATGTTGGGAAATCACTCTCTCGTGGGGCTCTCCTTCCTTCCTGAGCCAGTTGTGCGTCACTGTGTGATTCTCCGCTTCCCCCGCCACCTCCTGGATCCTTGCTCTCTGACGGAGGTCCCCGGCCACCTCCCTAGGCTTCAAACACATTAAGCTGGGCTGTTACCTGTCTGGTTAGTTAATTGGGGATACGATTTCAAATGGCAGATAATTGCTCAGTGTGATGTTCTTCCCAGCTAATATTTGCCCTCAGATGCTTTGATATGAAACGTCAACAGGGAACACAAACCGTGTGGGCGGGGCCCGTGGAGCCGTGATCTGAGGTAGAGGCGGACTGGCTGGGGCCCCTCAGACCATGCAGGGGAGCTGCCTGTTTACCACACAAAGGACTTGTCTTAGGTCCAATGCGGACAAGAAAAAGAAAGTGAGGAGCAACAAGAAATAGAAGGACAAACAAAACACTGGGCAGGAGGCCGGGCCTCTGGGCAGATGGCTTTTTTTTCTCTTTCTAGGTTTTTGTATCAGGTTAATGGGCTCAGTGTTCCTTGAGGTTTCTTCCTATTCTGTGTCACGCCTGTGTGTGCCTTTTTTGCAAAACACAAACAACTTTATTATTTTTATAGCTATGTCTGTTTTTCTCTCTCATTTTCTTAAGTAGGTAAAGCCATGCTATACATGGTATTGTGTTAACTTTTCACCCAACTTTATGATCTTACCATATGAAGCACTATAGTCTTGCTTCATCCTTTCCAGGGATCCTTTGTTTTTCCATTTTATAATTTGATGCTAGGTGAAAGGATCAGATCTGATCATTGTGACTAAATCTGGGTTTTTTGTTGTTGTTGTTTTGAGAGAAGCAATGTCTTGAAAATTTCTCTTTGTAGAGAACAATTCCTTAAAAATCATCTCAAAGTCCCACTCCCTGAATTTTCAGAAGCTATAAGAATTCCAACCTTGTTAATATTGAAGTAAAAGCAAGATAGTCTATTAACACTATGAAGAAGTTGTATAAAATTGTTGTAGTAACTTTAAGCAAGTGGATAAATGTTAAATGCCAACTAAAGTAAAATTTTAGAGAGAGTCCGGAGCCACTGATGTTTCCTTTCGATCCTCGCCCTACATACCCCTGGAGGCCACTAGGAACAGGCTTAATTGAGGTTGACACAACCCGTTGCGATGGCTGAGCTGTGACAGGGGACACTCTCATCTTGTGTGCATTTATACGTGGAGCTCTTTCCTTAGGACAAAGATCGTGCCTCTCTTCTTTCCTTGGAACGTAATGTCACTCATTCGAGTAGATAAACCTATGTTTTTGGACAAAAATTAAAAGTTTCAGGGAGTGTTAAGTAATATCCATAGGCACTCAAAAGAAAAAAATCTTCCCTCCTTTTGTTGCTGATTATTGTTCATTGGCCTCATTTCAAAAATATCATGTGTGTGCGCCTGTGTGTGTACATACAAATATGCCCAGAGCATTAGAATGGCCTGCAAGACATTATATAATCATTTTAAATGATGCAGAAGAACATTTGCTGACAAAAAAAGTTTTATGTATTATTAAGTGAAAAAGCATGTTTTATAATAGCGTATAAAACAAGCATGGTTTTATTTTGATAAAAATAATTATGTATGGAGCTTCAGAGAAAGAAAAATAGCTACACTCTAGAAGGTTAACCATGGATATCTTAGTGTAGTGGATTGTATTTTTATTTTCTTCTTTATGCTTTTCTACTTTTCCAAGTTTTCTTTAATCAACATTCATCACTTTTAACATCAAAAGTAAGTTAAAAGAAGTTAACTTACTTTTGGGAGTGATGAGAACGTTCTAAATTGGGAAGAACTGAACTGAAGTCTGCGAAACCAGCTGGAAAACCCTTTTAGATTGTTGTGACCAACCCGCCTTCTTGGAATCTGCCTGTTGCTTCCCAGACTGAGTATAACAGAAAGAGTCCCAAACTCGAAATCAAATGCCTGCTCCCCTGTTTATTCAGTGATTTCTATCCACCTTCTTCCAAAATGGATCTGGATGCCAAACACCCTGTGCTACAGTTTCCTGCTATGTGCTCAGTTAGACTCTGTGATTCTCTGTTTCCTTAGAGGAAAACCCTACCTGTCAAAAGTGATGGTCTCTTTCTCTTGAACTTACCCATCTTACGTGTCCCATGTGATGCTGTTGTCAGATAATAGATGTGAAAGCATCTCTTGAACTCTAAAACAGTAAACATGGAAGGACCCTATTAGTGAGTAATCTTCGAGTATCTTTGTTTCTGTGGATTTTTTAAAAAAATCTCAGCCTGAGCATTTGTGTTTCTTCCCTTTTCACTTTTACCTACAGGGTAAGACACCTCAAGACAGAGCTCAGCAGGCTGGGGACCCTGATTTGGCTGCTTACCTAGAAAGCCGTCAGAACTATAAGATCATTGGCCACGAAGACCTGGAAACTACTGTTTGACCCTAGGAGATGGGCAAAGAGAACCTGAGCGAGCATATCACCTGTGCCCTGTCGGCCATCGGGCAGCTCCCCTGGAAGAAGCTGATGGAATCCATAGTCTGTCTCTCGCCTGCAAGAGTCTACCTGAGACTGTGCCACCAGTTTTTAAGGGCTACCAAGATGTACAACAAAATAGGATAGCCCACAAAGGACGAGGCAGGATACCTGGAGATTTGTGGAATACGAGTTCCGCAAAATTTGATCCTTATCGCTTCCAGCAAGTAGCATGAACTTCTGTGTCCACCTGTATCATTTATTTTAAAGATTCAAAGGATGTTCGTATAAAAGGCACTGCTCCCTCCCCCCCCATGCATTCACCTTCCCTATACCACACCATTGTCCTGTAGCTACCCATCCATTGAAAAAATGTGACATGATCTCTCTTTACATTCAGTCTTTGAAGACCGACTGTCTGAAGGTCTTTGAAAACCCTCTGGATGCCCTGCAGAAATGTAACTGTTAAACCGCTTCCATTTCCAAGACTAAATATACCCAAGGACGATCAGTGACATTTTTTGCATGTCTCTTCTCCCTCCCTAGTCCCTTTCCATCACCTAGGAGCTGGGAGATGCCACATGGGTAACGTCGACTTGTGCATTGTACCTCTGAGGTATGGTGAGGTGGCATGGGAGTCGCCTGTTCTCAGAGGGACCTCAGAAAGGTAACCCAGGGGTTGGCCCAGGTTGCAGGGCTGCTGCCGACAGCCACCAAGGGCGGGTTCAGCTTGGGCTGTTTGCGCAGCGCCGTACTGCCTATGTAGCCATCTTTGCCTTTTGCTGCGATAGAGATGAGCAATGGGTCAAGCAAAGGCCCGCGGCCAGTTTGCAGAAGCGCCCGACTTTCAGTGCTGTTTTAACAGCAGAGCAGAAAACCACGTGTGGGAACTGTGGTTCCAGGAAGTGGAGCTCTGTGCCAGCGCTGACTTCTACACTTTTTGGAGTGATAAATGGAAAGCAGGCCAGTGGACTTGAAATACAACAGCAGAAGCAAAAGTAGCAACACATGTCAAAGAAACTCACTTAAGTAAGAAAACAGTCACTGGAATTTTGCACAGAGGCTAAGAAGTACAGACTCTTGGGTACAGTGGCGGGGGGGCCCATTTTAGGTTTTCCTTCTAAGATTTTGGTTTTCATGAGCCCAAGTACACCTTGGCCCGAGGACAAGCCTTGCTGCGTGAGTCTCACTGCCGACATTCAGGACGCGCGGCCCTTTCTGATGGATGCCTCACCTATTTACTTGGCAGGTCTCAATGGCATTCCTGCCAGCACTATAGCCCCATTTTACATGTGCGGGGCCATCTAATATATCATTTTCTCTATTTTCTTCTATCCGGAAGTTCCTAGTGCGAACCACGGGGGGAGCCCAGCCAGGAACGTCTCTCTGGCAGTGGAACGGGAACCCTAGTCCTGCCACAGAGCAGCTGGTACTCACAGGTGCCTCTGTGAGGGGCTTTGTGATCATTGAAAAAGTCTTCTAACTATTGGTGAAAATGTCTACTCAACTTGGGTGTAAGTCAGAAAGGAATGTGGTGATCGAGGGGTTTGCTTCGAATTAAATGTCTGTTTTCGGAGCTCTTCTCCATTTTGCTCTTAGATATAAGCAACACGCTTCCTTACTGTTCCTGCACGTGAGTGTAAACGATTGTTTCTCTACATTTAATTTAAAGTGGTGATGCGTTGCTTAGCTGAATCACATTTTGATCACGTATCACTTTGAAAGCACAGATACGATGCACTGCTATTCAGTAGGAATAACCTCTCAGTGGATGGGGACTGAGTCTCTCCTTAGTCGTTTCAAAATCAAATGGCTGTCATTATTTTCAGCTGTGGGAGGAAGGGTTGGAGGCGAGCAATCTATTTCCATAGATCGGCCTTAGAAATGCAACTATCGTTTGGGTTTTATGGCGGGGGGGGGGGGGGGGAGGGAGGGACTGCAGTAGATTGGTTCCAGAAGCTGGAAAAAATATGCTCCCAGCGAATTTAATCACTGGGCTTCTGCTGGGAGTTTTCAATTGGTGGGACTGTCAAGGAGACGTTGTGATGACAGAAATATAATCCTTAAAACAGACTGAAATCTGGCTTTGCACGGTGCCTTCCATTCCCTCGATTGAGCCAAGCGCTTGGCCGCGCAGTCAGCCGCCCCGCTGCCACTGCTGGGGCTCAGGACTGTTTTCACCACCTACCATCGCGTATTTCTCTGTGATGCTTCAAAGCCGCTCACGGAAAATTTAGGGTACAGGTGGCCATGGGCCAATTTAAATAGCTCCAATCGAAGTCACAAGTAAAGCCCTAGAATGAAAATAGATGACGTACTGACTGCTGTAGGGATCTTGGAACATTTGGAAATTGTTCAAAACCAAATATATATATATATATATATATATATATAGTAACAGAGTCCCATGTTATTGATGGAGAACAATATATGAGCAAGGAAAATATCTCTTTGAAAAAAGCAAACACCTCCAGGATTTAAGCTTTCCCCAATAAATAAATAAATAAATAATGAACAAAAACAATGACATATGTAATGGCTTCAGCATTACATGTACTTCCTGCAGCATTTTATTTGTTAATTGACCATTGCATGCGACAGTGCTGGGCATTAGAAAGAGCTAAGGCCATATGCGCCAGGAGTTTTCAACTCAGCTTCGGTAGGTAGCATCCCCTTTAAATGGGCCCTTGAGAAGTAGAGAAGTGACTAGGCTGGCCCCAGTCTGGAAACCCACATAGCTTGCATTTGAAAGACAGAAAACTAGATGCCTGTAGAAATATGATTTTCTACAAAAGCTCCCGAGACTCCTGCATGGGGCGTCTGGCGCAGCCGCTGCTCCTCTGGCCTTTGAGTTGGCGCCCTGTCTGCTCTGGGACGCCGTTTTAGATCAGACTGATGGAGAGATGCGCAATGGAGCGTTAGTAGAAGACAACATGATATAACCATAAAGGCAGTCATTTTTGAAGCCTTCTATTCCAGTTTTACACAATTAATGAGATAGAACCCAGTTAAGCTGTGGTGTATCACGTTCAAGGACGTGATACAGCGCAGGAGCCAAGAAGGAAATAAACACCATGGCTGGGAATTTCACTTTGAGAGCTCTGGTTACATCTATAGAAGTTACAACCTAAAACAGATGCAATTTCTGAAACAGGGTTTTTAGCTGGCAGGCCCTGTCGTGAAATTAGTGACGGCTGATGGGAAGCCTTGCATCCCCAGATGCCCCTGCCTTTTCATAATAGCTGGCTTAGTGCTTAGGCAGACCTGCCCGCCTTGAAAGATGCTCAACAGGTAGTTAATTTTCATGTGGACTTAGTGACAGTCTCTTTGCTGAAGGATTCCTGAAATTTATTGACTAGGTTCTCAAAATATCCATGTCTTAGAGAATATGGGGCAGCAGTTTTATTTTTTACATGTCCACTTTATTTAAAATATTTAGATTTTTTTAAATTATAAAAGTAGAATCTGCTGTTTATAAAAAGTTCTAAGACCATAGGTGAGTATTCCATGTAAAGTCAAGCCGTTCCTCTGTGCTGCGTGGTGTCCTCGTCCCACTTCCCAGGGATCAGTAATGTTAACCTGGTTAACGTATAAACCCTGCTGCTTGAATGTCATGTCAGAAATACTCTGCAAATGCCAGTGCCCCCTGAAATGTATGTATTTGTATACATATATGTATGTGTGTGTGTGTGTGTGTGTGTGTGTATAATATATGCTATACACACCTATATTGAATAGGTTGAAAAAAGAGTAAACGTTTTAGAAGCATGCCAATCACCTGTGTATGTATAGCTAACACCAACAGGCCAAGACAAGGTAACAGAATTTCCATGTATTCATTGCTGTTTCTGCTATTACTAAGCTCAGTTCTGTTACAGCACCATACTTCAGTTGCACATGGCATTTGCTAGTGCCTGTGTCACAGAATCCAGGACCAGGAGGCCTTGTGATTGTTTATGCTGCCTTCCAAGAAGCATGAAGCCTACCTGAGCCCAGAGACTTGTTTGGGTCACAAGCCGAGGGCTGCTACTTATGCGAAGCTTACACACGTCTCCCAGCGGAGGTTACAGGGCCTGCGCTCAATAGGTTGCCTGACGGTATTTAATTAGGGCGAGCTGTTGCTGGGAAAGCGGAGTCACTTGGCTGTGGGCTGGGGTCTGAGTAGCTTGGCTCCCTTCCAGGAGGAGTAGCTCATGAAATCACTGACACAGCAGGATATTTGATGCAATTATGCGATTTAAAAGTAAAAGAGATCATTGTTAAAATGGCTCATCAGAACCATCAACTAAAACTTCTAATTGCTCTCCTTAAATGGATTATTTTCATTTTAGAAAAAGAACCTCTAGAATATGCATTACATTAGAGAGTTTTCTAACTAATCTTAAACTTTTATTTATTTAGTATAAAATACTCCAGGTTTTATTGGACCGTCTCTGAATCAACTTTTTCATTCTCCGAATCGCATATTCAGCGGTTTGTGAGTCCTGCCATTTTTTTCTCGGCCCGGCCTCCCAGATCTACGGTGGGGCCATCATCCCTTTTTCGGGTCCTGGCCATCACCCGCCTCTAGTCCCCGCTGCTGTCTGACCCTGGCCACAGTCCCACTCCTAGGCTCCCTCTGCCGTCAAGAGTTTTTTTCATGCAGATGCAAAATCATCCTTAGCTCTTGTACTCAAAATGGATCCCAATGGAATTACCCGCTGGGGCAAATATCCATTTTGCCTGAAGGACACACGGAGGTCCGCTGGCCTGGAGCATCTCCTAGAGCTCCGGCAAGCGTGGCTCTGAGAAGTAATCTGCCAGACAGGGGTAGCAAGCTTCTGTCTTACTCACCCCAGGGGCGTACGGGAGGCCACAGTCATGAAAGCGTCTTCCACATTGAACAATATCAATAGCGTGCCCGATAGAAGTCACCTGAGTGGATTATAATGTGTTACAGCCCCGTGGCTCTCTGTGGATTTTAGGCTGTCTCCCACAGCTGAATGAGAAACCTGAAAACAGGAACTAAGCAAGCTGTGCCCTGGGACAATCAGCTCTCCCAGGACCCTGAGAGCTTCCTTTTGAGCTGGTCCCAAAAAGAAACAAGGGGAAAAAAAAATTCTAAGGCTGTTGAAGCATTACACGTTAAAGCAGAGATTTGAATATTGAATGATATCCTCCTGGTGGACAGATTTCAGAGTCTATTTATATATGTATTCAGTTAATTCAGTCATTCTACATACAATCATGTTTGTGATGAACCAGTCACATATTTGTGTAGTGAGGCATTTCTTTTCAATATACAATATATTTATCACACACTTGGATGCAGGCACTGTACGAAGGACATAGTGAATACAAGAAACAGAACTCTTGACCTCACGGAGCTGTCAGCTCAGGAGAAAAGACAGGTTCTGTTGTGCAGGAGAACCCCTCCTTCTCCCCGCCTCAGGCTTGCGCACTGCGGGCTCAGCCAGGGCTTATGGTGCAGGCTGCTCTGCAACCAGCCATGTTTTACTCCTATGACACAGGAAAGGGGAATATGAATGTGCAAGAGGAATAATGACATTTTACATTACCTTTTCTTTGGAGTCTTGGTACTGTTCTTAAAATTGTATATGAAACCAAGACTTTAAGATGAAACTTAGAAACACTACTAAAATGAGAGCGAACACTCATTTACTCTGTATCTCAAAGACGTAACTAGAGACAATAGGCAAAATTTGCAGTGGGTTTGGTTAAATATGAAGAAGATTAAGTATAAATATCACCCAAGAGTGGAGTAGGCGCCCTTACAGAGCTATAAAATTTTGGCCACTGGTAGGATTTAAACAGAGGACACGTGGCCACCTTGAGGGATGCTGTGCCTAGGGACCTGTCACCTGAGGGAGCTGGAATTAGATTCTGTGAGTTTTTAAATTTTTCTCTTAAAACGACTTTATGGAATGATAGGGTTTCATTTGAAAAATGTTGAACATCTTGACTTTTAATCTTTGAAATGTCACTTTGTAAGTGAGAGGCTCTAAAATCTCAATCACCTTTAGTTATAATTTAAAACATTTTTAAACCAACTAAGCATACCTGTAAGAACTATTGAACAGAAAGTATACGAAGAGGTACGACTTACTCAAAAATACCTCTGGATTATTATGCATACTGTTAAGTGTTCGTTCCTTGGCATTCTTAAGTAATTCCTATCAGAAATCTGTTTTACTGTCTGTCTGTCTAATACATAAAAAGTGCTGTGATTTGATATTCTTAAAATTAAATGTAATCTAATATAACCGCGGAAGAAAATTCTGCCTAACAGACATTTGGAAGCCAAGTCCATGCACATGAAAGGCAATCATGGAAAACTCCTTGGCTTCTGCTACTGGCAAGCTGAGCACAAGGCATAGCTTACCCATAGAAAGAAAGTGGTGATTCTGGGTTTTCTCCATTTTCCAAAGTTTGAATATTTCGAGCCAAATGGCATCTGCAATGGGAGCCTTTGGTGGTGGGAACAACTGGAACTACCTTGTTTCTCAATCTTTTAAGTGAAACACATACGATTTTCAATAGAAAATAGCTTAAATCGCTCAAGGCTTTACTGTTTATTATAACAATTTCAGTAATTTTTAAAATGTCAGTGTTTTAGCATTTTGATGTGGTTGGTTTTTTTTTTGACACTTTTGGTTTTCAGTGCCAGCGGATGAGGTGGATAATGCTGATAATACGTTTTGGATGCATAAATGGAATATCAGAGCAGTGGGTCTGACTTGCACAGATTTGTATAGTAATCGGTGGAGTTGCAGCCAGGCCTGTGATCCTTGGAAATTACAGACTAGCGTGCCTGCAATAGATGTTTTCTGAGTAAATAATTTTCCACCATTGTCTTCAATATTGTTTTACATC